TGTACACAATTGTTTTAGATTTTCATTCAGTATTACCTGATGTGGAAAAAGCCATTGAAAATTGTTCATTTTTGAGTATAGACTGTGAGTTAACTGGCTTGTATTCAGTTCGCAATATAAACTCATTCGATACGCCATGTGACTATTATGAAAAAATGCGAAATAACTCCAAGGATTTTTTGGTAATACAATATGGACTCAGTACTTTCAGGTAAGTTTACTCATGTGTCTAGTTACAGTTTGTGGCACACCAAAAATTAAATACACTTGCTTGCCTGCAGTTCTGGTTTTTCCAATGTTCAATTTGATCAATTTGTCTCTTGAATGACAAAATGGTTTAGACTTTCGCGGCTGAGGTTTCCAGTGTTACTGCTTTTCGAGTTTGAAAGACGAGGATTTTTGGAATTTCTTCCTGACGTTTCGCTGGCGCGAGTGGCTAGCTTATTCAGAGGTTTAACCATCATGGCTTGCTGACCGATGACTAACTTTTAGGCTTCGTAAAGCGTATTTATGCTTTGTCAGGTAATCAGTTGTATTGGTACCTGTATTTGTACCTGCACTTGTACCTTTACAGGTTAAGTACAGGTACAAGTGCAGGAACAAATACAGGTACCAATACAACTGATTACCTGACAAGGCATAAATACGCTTTACGAAGCCTAAAAGTTAGCCATCGGACAGCAAGCCATGATGGTTAAACCTCTGAAGAAGCTAGCCACTCGCGCCAGTGAAACGTCAGGAATAAATTCCAAAAATCCTCGTCTTTCAAACTCGAAAAACAGTGACACTTGTCTCTCGAATGTTTGTTTGAATCTTCATTTGTGTTCATAAAACACTAGTCAAGTTGCAGGAATATACTCTTCTTCAGTACTATACCTGACTATCCTGGATCTGATCGTTTAAAATATGTAAATCATGCTAATGTCATTGAGATATGTTTTCAATTTTTTTTTCACATCAAAAAAGAGTTTTTCCCCAAATGACTGAAGTTGTTGTATACCAACTTAACTGAAAACGACATAAATGTTATGAATAGCAAAAAAATTGGCGGAAGTGATAGTGCACTCTTAGTCATGATCCAAAGATTGTGGTTCAAATCCAACTTCAACTAGATATGTTTCTCTAGAGACTTGTTCTAGTTTCAGTTGGGTTGATTCTGCTATGTACATGGCCGATAGGGCTGTGAATAACCATGATGCTTCCTAAAACGAATTTATACAGTACAGGTGCAAAAAGTACCCTACCCTCTTAATTTTAGAACAGCTGAGTAATTATGTTTTATACTATTATATTCATTCCAGGAATCTGCAAATAAACAATAAAAATTATAAATCTTTTAGAAGAAAATCATATTTTTAACGAAGACTTCAAAATTACACATAGAAAATAAAGGTTTAAAGCTAAAGCAATGGAAATTATTAAACTTGAAAATTCAAACATTATAATGAATTACCAACTGGATTCAAATAGATCACCATTATCAGTGATCACCAGTTTGGTGATCAAATAGATCACCAAAACCTATGAAGTATTATTATTGATGTAGAAATGATGTAGTATGCTTTAGGTAATCATAATTGAAGCATATAAGTGGTAGATGTTTTGGGTAATTTAATCGAGTGAGTACCTAAGTAGGTAGTCTCAATTGTGATTACATAGGTTATATAAATATCAGAGTAAGAATGAACTTATAGTACTTAATTAACTACGAAAAAGCTACATGTGATATATTTCTTTAAATAAAGTTTGTGGAGATCNATTTGGCAGGGGAAGATTGTGAGTTTTACAATTTTGTATTATATAATCACTAATATTTGTTCTTTTTAGTGAGAGTATCCAGAGATCATGTTTTTCATTTAACTTTTCCTAAAGATTGGAAATTAAATAATATTTTACAATTATTTAGTCCATTTGGTGAGTGTGAATTATGAATTACTTTTTATACCTTAAAAAAAATGTCAGAAAAAAATGATACAATATTAACATTATAATCATTTTTTAGGCAATGTTCATGTATCTTGGATCGATGACACTTCTGCCTATGTTGGGTTGGCCAAGCGAGATCAAGCTGCATTAGCATTCAAAACCCTATCTCAAAGTGATTCTTACAGTATTATGCTGTATGATAGAAGAAGAGCTATCTTATCTGGAATATCGACACCTTTATGTTCCCCTAAAATAGGCAAAAAAAGAAGATCATCAGAAAGTTTAAATATTGTTATAAAAAAATTAAATTACCTTTCAGTTGGAATATTTTCGTTGTAACTATATAACATTGCTTCACAAAATCTACAATTACTTTGTCACCACTCGTTCCAGTGATATTTTATTTTAGTAGGCGAACCCTAACCACTTTATATTACCAAGATTATCATAACTGTGCTAAGTTGCTGCTGGTTTATTGAAACTCAAATTTTTACAAGTATATAAACACCGCGAACGTTCCACCTCCAAGATTCTCGATTTCTATTTTGTTCATTTCAACTTGCCTAAAATGCCATACCTATATTCATCATTATCTCTTAAATTTAGAACTTTGATCTAAAAAGACATGAATGTCGCTGCGTGATAATTTTCCTTGTTAATTTGGAATCAGGCCTGAGAAGCAGTTGATAATGTATTTTGTTTGAAGGCTTTTCAATTAGAAATTAACAGCTTCTAATTTCTTATTTTATTTCATCTACATATTACTAAGTGAATTCACCAATTAATTTCTGGAAAATAATTGAAAATTATAATATTTTATTTCAGATATAGTGAGGAAGACCAGAATTTCAAGCAACAAACCTACAATTTTTATATTTTCAGAAGACCTCTGAACAGAAATATCCCAGATCAAAGATTTTTGTGTCAATCTTCTAGTATAGACTTTTTAATCTCTGAAGGGATGGATTTTAATAAATTATTCAGGGAAGGTATTTCATATCTTAATGAAAATGAGAAGTCTAAGTATGAAGCTAATTTGGAAGAGGCTCATAAAAAAAAATCAGAAACAATTCAGTCGCAAAAAGATGGAAATGATGATAATATTCCAATACCAGACAATGCAAGGCCATTCATGACAGATGTTGCGTAATCAACGTAAATAACTTATTTATTCCATTTTCATCATTATTTATTTCCAGAGAGCAGATAGAATTATTTTTACAAGGGGATCAAACCGAATTGCAACTTCCTAAATGTAATGCATTTTTGAGAAAATTGGTGTATCAAATGAAAAAGGAAAAATTTGACAAAAAAATATTTTTGGAAACCAGACAAATTGAGAAGGATAGGATTTTGGTTGTAAAAAGAGCCATGAGCCTGGAAGAGGAGAGAGAAAATCATGAGAAAAACTATGAAAGTCAACTGAAAGAACTTGACGATTTCATAGGTTTCACAAAAGTATTGAAAGCAATTGTAAAGTCTGTAAGTTGATATATCAAATAATTTACTTTTTGATAATATAGCATGTTATATCAGGAATTTTTAGGTTTGTCTCTATATAAACCAATCATGAATAATAATTTTTATTTCTTTTGCAGGAGAAACTTGTTATTGGTCATAATTTATTGTTGGACTTCCTTCATAGTATAAATCAGTTTTTAGTACCTTTACCAGATGATTACGAAGAATTTAAAGAAATGGCTCATAATCTTTTTCCAAGGTGAGCATAGTTCTATGATATTTTGCTTCTTTTTGACTGACAAGTGGATGAAGCCAATAATGTTGAATTGCATTACAATAAACTCAATCCTGTACATCTTGAATGAGCCCATTTCATGAGATTCTACCTTTTGAACACACTGTAAATTTTCCATAAACTCTTCTATACTGGTTGTTTTATGAGTTTAATAATATAACCATCTCCGAAATTATTACATAGTAACATCATTCACCACACTTGGCCGACGAGAGTTGGGTACATTGCTGAGGGATTCGAGGAACTGATGGAAACAATGAGAAGATTGCCTGAAGGCAAGGCTCGAAACAAAATCGATAAACCAGTGTAACTTTGTATGTGCAACGTGTCAAGGAAGTTCCTATATGTGAATTATGCATAACAAACAACTTGATGTTGATTATGCAGTGTTTACTCTTATCACTTTTTACATGTTTCTGAATATTTCCTTATTAGAATAAATGTATGAAACTGATACAAATTTGGGGTTTTAGGGTGATAGATACAAAGTATATGTCTAGTTCAGCTCCATTTGATGATCTAATATCTTCAAGTGTATTGAACCAAGTTTTGGATAGAGTTTCAGAAGAACCTTTCCAAATTCCAGACATAGGTAATCCAATCAGTTCATTATGAATTATTGATTATTTTCCTATCATGTTTCAGTGATTGAAGATGGTGGCCAGGGATATAAAGTCTCTGATAAGAAGGAACACGAAGCTGGTTATGATGCTTTTATAACAGGAGTCAGTTTTTTGTCTATGTGGAAATATTTAGGTATACTGTTACAGTATTAGTATTTTTTTCATCAGGGGCAGTAATTTCTTAAACACAATAATTATTAGTAAATAGTGATGCGTCTAATGATCAACAGCATACAAATGTTGATATAACTGATATTTAAATACTCACTAACCGTTATGTTGTTGTTTTTCATTTCATTTTCATTTATTGTCCTCAAAGACGAATTACATTTATATAGGAATAGTCACATAATAAATTAAAGACTTCATAAAATATTTTACAATAAAACTAGTACATCACTACAAATTATAAAATATAGTCCTCCCACCGCATATGAACCTGCGTCTGATAAACTCATAAACTTCCAAACAGTTTTTCCCAATGGATGGAGTGATTCAAGAAAAAAAAATGAAAAAAATCATGTGTATAACTTATTAATGTTTTGTGTGAATCGTTTGAAATGTGACGATATTATCTGTGAGAAGTCTGGGCGGAGTTGATACACAGGAAGCTTTCATCGAAAATGCTACCTAATTCACTTCTTGATATTACAAAACAATTTACTGCATAATGTTTTTCTTTTACGATGCCGCGATGGCATTAGTCTGTCTTTTGTGTAAAGGTTACTGTACCCATTTTATTGTTTAAAATTCTGATCACATATAATGTGGTAATTGCTTTACCTGAAACACTATTAATCCTTATCAAGCAAATAGTTAATTGTTTTAACCCTCTCAAAACAGCTTTTGCTTTATTTACTTTTCATAATTTTTTTCAAATATTTTCACAATAATAATCAATGATTGAGTGAATGATAACTGAAACTTTCATTTCAAGTTCATGGTGGTTGAAAGGGGTAGTGGTGGTTCGTATATATACCACCAATCTTGGTGAGCGGTACTTATATACACCAGGAGACCCCTGCAGTGTAGTTGTCAGTTCAACATTTTCAATATGAAAGAAAAATGGTAACAAAATGATAATTAAATTCAGAAAATCATGAATGGTAACTTGCCGAATAATTTGCAAATAGCGGTATCTCACATTGTTGAGAAATTGTTTTTGTTAAATTTTTTGTTTTTTAGCATCTGTACATCTTTTACACTGTCATATCGTAGGACCCTCGATGGAAAGGTATAGAGAAACATTACCTAATAGTCTTCTCTTTTTAGAAATTTTTCCATTTCTCATTGATTGTCTAATTATTACGGTTTTTGTGCCTTCTGCAATCAGTTCCTCTGCTAGAGGAACAACAACTTCTAAAAATTAGGTATTTTTGCGTTCACTTGCTTATAGATGATCCATGAATTGACAGCAGCAATCATCACCAAACGGGAGAATACTTTTCTCTACCAGTTTGTTGTTTTGCTGTCAAAGTCTTGAAGCACGGACATTTGATTTGCCATACCAACCCTCCTATTTTTTCCCGATAAAATGTAACCATCTTTGGACAGGAAATATTGACTCTCCCCTTTTCAATTCACCTTTGATCACATGCATATTTTTTCTTGAAGAAATACGGGTTTCTAAGGCTGGATATCGTAGGAACATCAGTTGGTGTTGTTTAGTGTAGTATTTCTTATAGTATCAGGTGTTTGATAGTGAAAATAAAGTGTTGATAGTTTAATAATTCCAAAAAGTTACTTGAACCACCGATAGTAGGTATAGATATCTCACAAAAAGTGAGTGTCTGAACAAAGTTTTAAAACGAAATTAGCTCATTTGATACAGAATCAACACATCAAAAACAAGAAACATCCTTTATCAGTTACCTGATAAGAATCCATTCACTTAATATCCACCCAAGCAACGTTTCATGATTGTTTCCAATTGTAATAAGTAGGAATTGTGTGAGTAGGAATTTACAAAGATATAATTTTGGTTCCTCATTTATTTGACGGAATTCTGAATGGAGAAACCTATCACCAGTTTTTAATGTCGATTTTCGAAGACTATTTGGATGATCTACCTTTGGCTAACTATAATATCTGGTTTCAACATGATGGTTCTCCACTGCACACTACCAGATGAGTATTTAATTACCTGTCTGAAAGGTTTGGTTATAAATGGATAGGGAATAATGGGCCGGTGAGGTGGCCAGCAAGGTCTCCAGACTTGAGTGTTATAGATACATTCTTATGGGGTACACTGAAAAATAGAGTTTATGGTCAGAGGGAATATCAAAATATTGAGGACCTTCAACACAGCATTGTAAGAGAGTTCAGAAAATTGAGGAGGAGGGAAATTATTCGTGCAGTGAAAAATATTTGAAGAAGGGCGTGTTATCATGAACAAGGCCAGCATTTTGAGCATTTGCTGTGATTTGTTTTTGTCTTTACATTTCAGTTAAATATTGTTATTTGTTCAAAGTTCTATTTTCATTTAAAAGGACACAATGTCTAATTTACTTCATACACACCGTCTTTATCAAATTTCAATTGTTGATTCTGTCTCCGTATTTTTTCATTGGCTTTTCAAATGAACCAAACTTTGATCTTGAGATTTTGATCCAATAACTTGAATATAGTTCGATGTGGTTGTCATATTTCGGGATACAAGTTTAAATACATTTCTGATGTCCTAACACTGTTTCTATCGCATTTGTAATAAATTTGTATCATATCTCTTTTTTATTCTTTCGTGAAAGCCATTTTTCGCCAAAAATTCAATGACTTGTACAATAACAAAATGTCATTGACTATAACAAATTAAAAGTCAAATATGGAAACATAAAGTCAAAGCCTATTATGATAAGAATTCATTTTTTTCAATATCTCCAACTTTTCGAAAATGAATGATAACTTATGATACATTATTGAAAAGGTAAAATCTGGTTCTATTCAATACAGAAAGAATCCAATGAAGCGCCCATAAAAAAAAAGTTGGTGATGGTGGCCGGAAGACGAAACGTCGGATAGCAAATCTGAAAACACTATTACGTTGCAGGGAAAAAGTGG